AACATCAATTAAAGCATGAGTAAATAAAAGTGATATCTCAGGAATAATTTCGGTGAGCTCTTCTATTTTTACATACGATCCTAAAATTTCACAAGAGATGTTTCGCTGAAGATGACAACGCAGAGTCAAGAAATTAAACAGATAGATTCAGCGCAATAATTGAAAAACATTAAAATCTCTGCCTTCTATGCATTCATCTAACCTGTCAAATTGGGAGATTCGCATACGTGGCCCGATGAGGATCATACGTCTCTTGTCGATACCTCCATTCAGATGATTGATGCTCGTCGTCATTCGGTAGAGACGCGACGAAATAAATCAAAAGACGCCCTTACACGAGGTGCGAACTCTTTTCTTCTTCTTCCCCCGTCGCTCCCTTTCATGTAAGATGCTGCCAGGCGTTATCAAATCGGCCGACAACAGGGAGGAAGGGGGGATTAAATACCAAACGAGCGACGGGTTTCGATTGTTGGGGTATAGCGTGAGTGGTGCGAGTTTACGAGGGTGCCAGAGAGAGAGAGAGAGAGAGAGAGAGAGAGAGAGAGAAGGTTGTATTACCGTATAACCTCCCTGGAAGCATGTAGGGCTCGGATCCGCCTTGTATTCCCTTCCGTAATACGTCCCGTGATAGTCATTGTCGACGTATTATCCGATTACAGGCGGAAAAAGAGCGCGATACCTCGTTAATACCCCGATCTAATAACGCTAAAAATAATTTCACGTTTTTTTTTACTGCAGTTACGTGAACGCGCGATGAAAAAGCAATTCGATTTCTATGCACAAGTCGCAATAAGTTAAATGCGAATACTGCTATATCGTATATATATTTTCTTTACATAAGTAAGGAAGATGGAAATCAGCGTGGTTATTAGTATACGCACTATTTGATTTACATGAAATTTGCTTTATTCTAAAGTCAGACGTTTCGGCTATCTTTCTTAGCCATCTTCAGTAATTTTCTATCTTCAGTTAATTTCTTCAGTTAATATCTTCAGTTAATATCTTAATTTCTTCAGTTAATATCTTCAGTTAATTTTAACTATTTATTTTAATCAAATTGTATACAGTATTAATTTTAATTATTTATTCATTTCCGTTATTTATTAACTGGATCGTTGCCAAGCTGCGAAGTGTGTGTTTTATTACGCGTTAAGAACACACGCGTTAAGAAACTAAGAGCGAGAGTTTAATGTAATTTTTTAATTCGTCACTGAAGATGGCTAAGAAAGATAGTCGAAACGTCTGACTTTAGATTCTAAAGTTTAGAATAAAACAAATTTCATGTAAATTAAATAGTGCATACCAATAACCACGCTGATTCCCATCTGCCTTACTTACTTATGTATTTTTTATTTGGGGAATCTTGTTAGGTTTTTATTGTTTTATTACATATTTTCTTTTACACATATATAGTAATTAAGGGTAATCTTTTTACGTATATGTATGTACATACATTCAGTGTTTTATTTAATTTATTTACAACATTTCAGTCGTGTTTTTCAATGGATATGCCGATAACTATTTAGAGGTCTTATTTTTTAAATATCTAAAGAAAAACAGAAACTTACAATACCTAACAAGTGGTTGTGTTTTTGTCACTCTTTTTAGAGTTGAATATTACGTTTCTTTTCCCTGTCGGAATTCATTTGAATATGCTTGTCTGGCGTCATTTCCGCATGCACGTGACAATTTCATATCAAAGACACATGTCGAAAGAATGCGGAATTCATTGATGCTTTGTGAAATCATTAATTCTTCTCGTTAGACATTGAATATAGTTGACAATACTACGCAAGTGGCAAAACAGGCGCGTACTATTATTCATTGTCAATGCTTAGCAAATAGATCCTTATTCAACGGCATAGTATAAATGTTGCTACTGCAGTGCGACATTCACAGTTCAAACATTCACAGTTCACGCAGCGTAAGATATATTGCAATATGAGAATAACAGTGGTACTCTTGATCTTGACGATCCTGGTGTGCGCCATGGTCCAGGAATCCGTAAGTCTTTATTAGCGCAAATATGATCGTTTATCAATGAATTTTTGAAAAATGATAATTTGAATGATAACGATTCTGTTCTGTGCAAAGGAACAAATCTTTTGGGGTGGTCGTCGTTATCGATATGGCAGACGATATCGCGGTTGTTGTTGCCGTACAACACCTGCACCAACAAATTCAACAAATTCCACAGCAGGAAATATCGGAAGAAAAAGACGCGAGATCATAGATACGATTCCACTTGAAATAAACGATTTGGAATAAAAGAATAACAGATGTGAAAACTATCGCGGATGGAAACAACAATGAAATGTTAAGATTTTATTAAAAAATTATGTAACTACAGTTATATTACTTAAATAGATAGACTACTTTAAGTAGTATCTAAAATTGAATAGCAATAAAGATATATCAAACTCTTCAATATGGATAAATATATTTTTTCAACTTTCGTAAAAGAGAGAGAAGATTGATTATAAATATCTGATATAGTATTCGGTAGTCAGAAAAATGGGAAGGTTTTATAAAGATATATTTATAAGAACTTTCTCTCATGACGTATGTACCTAATATTAAAATGCACATTATAACACACGTTCTTATCACGTGTGTTCAAATTTAACCGACACAAAACTCGGCTTCGTGAACATTTTTCTAACGCACATTATTTATTTTTAACATTGAAAACACCGTGATTACTTCATATATATTGCTAATTAAAAAATATTGTCATTATTGCGACTGATATGTGTAGCGTATACGCGAATGTGTAAAAAGAACTTCGTCGCTTTTCTTTATCGTGCCCGCGGGTTCTTCGTCGAGCACGCTGGATTTGCGACGATGACGTCCTCGAAATGTGGCGAAAATCGGTACAAGATACGCCGGGGAAGCGGCAAGGGAAAAAAGTCGCTCGAGCGCGCATCTCTACTCCGTTGGCGGTTTCGCTAGGCTAGAAATTTAT